TCAGGTCAATAATTTACGGGTTATATTCGGGTCGGGTCATCTTCAGGTCAGTTCATGTTTGGGTTTGGGTCTCACATACTCGAGTCAACTCGGGTCTAGAGTTGGTTTTAGGTCAGGTCGGGTTTAGGTCACCATTTTTTCGGGTTCAGATGGGTCGGTTAATAATTGGGTTTAAGTCTGTATTTCGGGTCGGGTCAACATTTGACAGCTCTAATCATGACTCATAATTCTATGTGGTAGTGTGTTATTTGGTTAATAATTGTTATTTTATTGTATAGGTATACAATTTATTTGATAAAAAAAAAAAAATAATTAATGTGGTAGGAGATGCTATCATTTTTTTTGAAACTTCTCGACCTTTAGTAATGTGAGGCATTAATGGCTAACAAAGTATTGTTGGAATGAAATTACGCTTAGCTGTAAACATTTTATCATATAAAAAAATGTTGTCTATTAGAACCAAACAAAGGCTAAAGTATAAATGGTACATTAAATCGACATGTTGGTGATAAAGTGTATAACACTAAAGGCATGTTCTGATTTACTGAACTGGATTGTTTATGAGAGAAGGAACTTAATTGAACTGAAATTATGCTGAAGAGAGCAGGTCCTAAAAACAAGTACAACAAACAGTTTACTACATTTATTAATAACTCGTAACTAAAGACGTAGCCGAGATTTTTTTTCATTTGATAGGTCATACCTTATAAGTTTTGTACAAAAACTGCATAAAAAATAGAAAAGACCAAAAAAAATGATAAGGATTGAACATACTATTATTAAGTGTTTATACGTTTATGTAAAAACCAACTTTTTTGCCATTTATTCACATCAATATAATAAATACTTCTTTCGTTTTTTATAATTGCAATACTTCACTGAGATGGAAATGTCACAGTAATTGCAACACACAACAAAATGAAGGTTTTGATGGTAAAAATTGTACTATTACCCTTCGCAACACCTCCCCCACCCCTTGTCAGCCATCCCCTCCCTCGACAATGCGTGGTTCCTACACCCAGGCGTATCATGCACATGGTACACCTGAATTTTGAATTTCAAATTTTTTTTTTTAATTTTTAATTTCATTTTCAAAATGTTATTATCCAAAATACTATATTTAGTTCCCTTTCTTTAAAAAAAATTAATATTTTTTTCATATTTTTTCACCAGATTTTTTTTTTAAAAATTTAGTTATAATATTTATTATAATGATTGTTCTGTGTACTTTTTATGAGGCTCTTTATATGACTATATAATGTTCTTTATATAAAAAGTAATTTTTATTCTCTAAAATTATTTCACCTAAAAATAACTTAAGATTTTGTTTTTAAATTTCAAATTTTAAATTTATAAAATTTCGTTTTCAAAATTTTAGTTTTCATTTTTTTTTTATTTCGTTCATATTTTTCACCTTTAATATATATAGTTACAATATTCATTTTAGGGTTGGTATATATAAATTTTTTGTGATGTTCTATATGTGATTTAATAATATTCTCTAATAGAAAACATGATGTACTTTATAGTTGTTTGTAATGTACAATTATTTTTTAAAACTATATCTTTTTCCTTATGTCCATAATTATATCATATAATGATTTTTATTAGATTTTTTGATAGTTTATTTTAATTGTCCATGTTTTTTTATTGTAATTGCAATGTACTTTTATCGTCACATAATATTCATTGCTTAGTGTGAAATGTTCTTTGAATTTTGTCTTTGGATCGTAGTAGGTATATATATAAGTTATGTTCATTAATATTATCATGTTCTTTAATAATATTACGGATGTTCTTTAGATTTGGAAAACAATCATCAATAGAAGAGATCTCAAAAGAATATCATCATCAACCTTCACGATCCTGATTTAAAAAAAATATATACGTAGTTAGTGATAATTAATATTATAAAAAATATATAGAATTAATAAATGATATATTATTTAAAAATACAGAATAAATCAAAGAACATCGAAGCAAAGAACATAAAGGATAAAAATAAAGAACATTCATATAATTGTTCAATAACTATAATAACGAACATAAGTACAATTTATAAAGAACACCATCTTCAACATTTGACAAAATATAAAGAACATCATCTTCAACCTTTGACAAAATATAAAAAACATCATCTTCAACCTTTGACAAAATAAAAGAACATCATCTTCAACCTTTGTCACATGGATCTCAAATTCATAAATATCAAAATTGAAAACAAAAACAACGATATTTTACAATAATCGTGCAAAATAATAACAAAATATAATCAACCAAATAAGCAAAATCCTGAAATTAAAATCATAACAAAGAAAATCAAATTACCTTCTCCGATCCATCGATTACAATTCTCGTAATTTGCTCTGTATTTTTCTCTCTACAAAATTCTTTATAAACTTTATTCTCTCTTAATTCGAAATTGAAATATGGTGAAATTTAATTTAATTTTGAATCCCATGAATTGTGGAAGAGATTATTTTTTCTTTTTTAAATAACAAACTAACAACTTGCAAATGAAATGTTAAAAACACATCATTTAACACTAGGTGTACTATGAGTATTAGGGGTGAACACGGTCTGGTTTGGTGTGGTTTGAGTCTAAACCAAACCAAACCGTAAAAGTTTGGTCAATTTTCCAAACCAAACCAAACCATATTAGTATTGAAACCAAAAACCAAACCGTAATAATGCGGTTTGGTGCAGTTTGGTTTGCGATTTATGATGAGGCGGCATTTTTTCCTAAAAATTGTCAAATAATCAATAAATTTATAATAAAGTTCAAATAATTAGCCAAAGAGATTAAATTCTACTACAAATTTTTAATCATCAATAACTATATACTAAAAGACACACCAACAATGACATGTGTCATTTTTGGTGTGTCCCTTAGTTTTTTTTTATTATTTTTTTTTACTGTATTTAAGGAAACAAATATTATATAAAAATAAAGTATAAAAACCTACACATAAATAAAAGATTTGATGTATTCTTGACAACTATATAAACTTATGTAAAAGGAAAACAAAAAAAAAAAAATCAAACTTAGCTTTAACATAATTTTTGCCAATCATAGTGTCATATACTTCAATAATTGCATTTTTTTATTTAATATCTTTATAAAATAATACATTATATTTAGAAGCTTCAAGAAAGTAACTAGAATATAAAAATTACTTTAAATAAAATATTTGATAAATCCTTCCACAAAAATATTAACAACGGCAGAGTATAAATTTTAGGAAAAAAAACGAAATCTTATATTTGACATATTGAGTGTAATGTACTACTCCGTATTTTTTACAAAACCAATTTACTTTCTAAAAAAAAATAGAAATATATTTACGGGTTAAATACATACTTCCTCCGTTCTTTTTTACTTGACCCGCTTTGACTTTTACACTGTTCACCACTCCTCCTTTGACCGTGTTTTGTGAATAATAATTAAAGAAAAACATATTCATGTAAGATATTTTTAAATTCGTCTCAACAATTACTATCATAATATATAACTTTTATAATTTTAACTTATCGAGAATTAAAGTTATTGATCGTTAAAGTTTTGCATTGGCAAGCGTGATAAAAGAAATAGGTCAAGTAAAAAAGAACAGAGGAAGTAGTACATAGCTTTAAAAAATTCATTTGGTTAATAAGCAAAAAAAAAAACGATACTAATATGTTGGTTAAATATACAAATATATATAGGTCAGGTTTTGTCAAATGTGTATATTAAAATACTTGTATGGCTAATGAGCTCTTTCATAATAAATACATCATACTATTTTAGACAAATTTATATTTTTTGAAAAACAAATGTATGTTTAATTAAATTATACAGTAATATTTATTTTAAAAAAAAATTAAATCATAGTATATTGTTTTTTTTTTAAAAAAAAAAAAATTCATTTTAGTATTTTTTGTTTTTGTTAACAAATGTATTTTTTTTATTAAATATTATTTTATTGAATAATTATTTAAAATTACCGTGTATGACACGGGATCTAATCTAGTAAAAATAATAACCAACTATTCAAGTGCTAAGTGCTAACACAATAACACATAATAAAAATAATAATACATAACAAATTAACAGTGGAAAAAAAATAATACATTTGTCCAGAAAAATAATTCATACTACATTATAGTTATATGACCTATTTAATTTTAGGTATTGATAATTGAGATTGAGTATAGAGTATAGTAGTATACTGACCGTATAGTCTTCTAATGATTTTTCTTTTTTTTTTTTTTGTTTTTTTATTTTTTTATAATATATAATAACTATTTTAATTTATTTAAAAATTATTTAAATATTAAAATGCGGTTTACGGTTTGGTTTGGTTTATAATTTTTGAAAAACCAAACCAAACCGCAAACCGCATTTCCCAAAAAATCGAAACCAAACCGTATTTTTCCAAACCGCAAACCAAACCAAACCGCTAAAATGCGGTTTGGTCTGGTTTGGTTACGGTCTAGACCAAACTGTGTACAACCCTAATGAGTATGGTACACCCTGGTGTACTATACAATTTTGCACTCCCTCGATACTATTTTCTCAACCCTGAAAAAACTTAAATCCCTCCCTTCTCCCCGTAAAATGGCCGGCTAGTCATCGTTCCACCCCTCTCCACCCTAGCGTCATTTGGATGGGGAAATGGTATTAAGGAAGGGGATGGGCGGTGAAGGGTGGGGGATGAGTGGCGAGTGATGGGGTGGTTGGGTGGTTGTCCAAGAAGGAGGGATAGACAAAAATATTGTTGATCTTGATTTTTTTTGATATTGTATAAATTTGTTGTCAAAAAAATATATTGTATAAATATATGGTTGGGCTTTTAGCATCTGCTACTTAATTAATTCTGGCTAGCCCAATCCAAAAATAAAAAACCCAAGAACAGAAAAATGACATAACAAACCCTAAAGGGCTAAGCAGTAAGAAGACCCAACACACAGGGGTATTATTGGAAAGACAAAAATGAACGGCCAGGATAGAATCCTAAAACAACTACAACATTAAACCCTAGAAATATATTTAAGCCCTCTTTCGCCTCCAAACCCTTTTCTTTTCCTGATTACAATCGCCGGACTTCTGCCAACTTCTCTCCTTCTTCCTTCACACTTTCTCGAACCCTAAAACCCAAATCCAGGTATTTTTCTTCATCTTTGTTCTGCAAATTAACTTGTTCTTCTGAATTTGTTTGGTGAATTGAATTTGTGTGATTTGTGTTGTAGTCATGAAGATCGTCGCCGCTTACTTGTTGGCTGCTTTGGGCGGTAAAGCTAACCCTACTCAGGCTGATGTTAAAAGTATTCTTGCATCAGGTAACGTTTTTTGAGTTAATTGCATGATAATCGAAACTTGTTTTGATAATGTGTGAAAAAAAGACTGATTTATAAGATTTTTTGTGCTAATTATTCTGCGAAAATTTGGCTTTATGTTCGTAACTACGTAATAATGTGTTGATTTCTTGTTCAATTAAGTTTAGATTCATATTCTATTTACATGAAATTATGATAAGGTTATCATTGAAATTGGGGTAGAATTTGTTGTTCGATATGAATGAGTTGAGTTTTGTTGGACGATTAGAACATTGGGTTTTGTTGAATTGTGAAGGGTGTGGGTTGGTTTGATTCGTGGGAAACGGGATGTTAATACTTCCTCTCTCCTTTTATTAGAGTCCCATTTATAAGACGGAGGGAGTATAAACCGTTTGTATACATGTATGATGTATATACACTTTGAATACTAGTATTTTGAATTGCGATAATATACTGGTTGTTCCGAGCATGTTGGACTTCTAGTATGATATTCACAAGTGGTTGTGTGAGTTGCGGGTAGACTGATACTGCAATTAGCATAGTGCACTTAGGCTTGCTGTGCGCTACTGCGCTCTGTATGGCACGGGCGCGAGTGCGTGATTATTGTTGTTGATCCTATCTTTTGCTTAGGATGTGCTATTAATGTGTGTTTTTGTCATTGTTTTTGAGATTTAACTTTTGGTCCTATGTTATTAATTGAATACAAGTTTATGACATAGTGTGGCAAGTTATTCGGCTTTTCTCCAATCTTGTTAGGAGTATGGTCACTGCATGATTTAGGTTGCCACCCTAGTCTGTTTAATAGTAAAATTAGTAATACCTTGATTGATGGGAGTCTTTAATGAGTTGATGAAATGTGAAGTTTGGTTGGTTGGGCAATGATACAACAGTCTAGTATGGTCACTGCATGATTTAGGTTGCCACCCTAGTCTGTTTAATAGTAAAATTAGTAATACCTTGATTGATGGGAGTCTTTAATGAGTTGATGAAATGTGAAGTTTGGTTGGTTGGGCAATGATACAACAGTCTAGTATATTCTGGAGGCTGGAATTTCATATACTTTCTAATAAATTATAGCATTATCAATGTTTGAGTGAAGAAAGTTTAAATTAATAGGCTAAGGGTTATGCTCCTTTGCTTTTGTTTTCCTTGGAGGAGCAGGGCTTGGTTGTCTATGACTGTATGCAGTAACTCTTAACTGTGTATTTGTTTGATTGCAGTGGGTGTTGAAGCTGATGAGGACAGACTTCAATTGTTCTTTGACCAAGTTTCTGGCAAAGACATCACAGAACTAGTCGCTGCAGGAAGAGAAAAGCTTGCATCTGTCCCAGCTGGTGGAGGTGCAGTTGCAGTATCAGCTGCTCCAGCTGGTGGTGCCGGTGGTGCTGCCGCCGAGGCTCCCAAGGAGGAGAAGAAAGTTGAAGAGAAAGAAGAATCCGATGATGTAAGAAAAGCTCTATGGTCATCCTTAAAATATCAATTTGGTCCATTTATTAATTTTGAAAATTTGATGTTACAATTTGCTAACTCCTCTATATATTATCTCTATTGCAGGACATGGGTTTCAGTCTCTTCGATTAAGTCAGAAGAAGCCGAGCTTTACATGAAGTCGTCGTCTTTTAAAAGTAGCTCAAGTTTTGTTTTGCTATTTGGAGATGTTTTTAGTTTTTTCTTGGAGATTTTACGTTTCTTTTAGCTAATGTTTGAGGGATTGGCAGACTATTAGTTATGTTGGATTATGTGGTAAGTGGTAATCAATCATCCAATATATATTATACTTTTGGCATCCTTGGCATTCATACCTGATTATTCTAAGGCACAGCTTATTGCTTTTGCTTGATTGCATCTAATTTTTGTCTCAATTACTTGGTTTCTTTATTCAAAAGTTAATATTGAATAGCTACTACATGCACAATATGTTAAATATTCTAGAATATTTAATGATGTCTATCTTAATTCATACGACTTGGGTAATATCTTAAGCTTGAGACTGTCAATTTATCATCAATTTACTGCAAATTTATTGAAGTGGTATGCTTAAACTTGCAATCTTTCTGTGTGTAGCAATCTAGCAACTAGCACGTTGGAATATAACTGTGACAAATTATATAGCAATGCAAACACCTTTGTAAAATGTTGTATTCTAGAAATACTATACTTGCATTCTCAAAGCCATACATTGGAATATAACCGTGACAAATTATAGAGAAGTACATACCCACCTCCATAGGGCCATAGTTATGATCAGATTTTTCCCATAAGCAAGAAGAAATCCAAATGAAAGAGTTACTCACGGGCTCACGGCATTGCACTAAGGCTTGCATTGAAGACAAAGCCACGCGACAACCCATCCCCGAAGTCAGGTGCCCCCTCAATCCACCGCCACTCGCTGCCACCCCCAATCACCCCCTTAGCCGAATCATCCCAAACAGCCAACCTCCCTCCAGGCGTTGAAAAATAAACTTTATCTCCACCTCCAAAATACTTATTGTACAAAATAGTTTCCTCGAAACACTTGTACATATCATAGGGCATTCTGCCTGCCTCTTCCCACTCCAAGCTCTCCAAATCCAGCCTTAGTGTTAATATTGCTAAGTGAGCATAATCGTTTATTAACATTGTTTTCTTTTCTGCTCCCACCAGTAAAATCTTGTTCCCAACCCCATTTAGTAATTTGGGATATCGTAAAATATCAATCCTAACCCCCCACTCTTTCTTCTTTACCAAACTCCACACCAACGACGTCGTTTCATTTTCAGGCAGTTTACAGGTGATTATATCATTACAAGATGACTCCATATGACGCCAACACAATGCATACACGGAGCTCCCTACGAAAATGCTTCTTCTAGGATTCAAATTTGTTTCATTCAACGAACACCTTAAATTCGTCGATAACTTGAGCCAATCTTCATTGTGATTGTCCCTATATAAGGTGGCAAACTGAGTGAACAAAAAAACTCGACCACTTGAACCAGCTAAGACTGACCCATTTTTTTACCATGCAGACCCGAGCTTGGGGAGGACTCGGTAAGCCCGGGTCAAGGGGTTGCATACAACAAGTGATCGAAAAGGTGAGTCAGGGGACTCACCCCAAAGGTAGATACACCCGGGTGAAGAAGTAACAAGGAAAAGAGAGGTGAAGGGAAGGAAGGTAAGGTCAAACTTGAGCCACTGGTTAGATGAGTGGTCAAAGGCGTGGAGAAGAGAGACAGGTGGCGGGGATACGAGTCGGTAGTACTTGTCGTGGAGAGGAGGACAGAGAGCGAGGAGAGGGAAGGGAAGGTTGGAGATGAGGTTGAGGAAGTGAGGAGAAGTGAGGAGGTGGTGGAAAGGTTTGGATATTAACCTGCAAATGATGATTTGGCCAAGTGGGTGTTTGATGAAGATCATGCATAGAATGTCTTGTGGAAGGCTGTACATTGGTGAGGAATCTGCGGATTCCATGCTAGAGAAGAATAGAGTTTCTCAAGGTTATTCATAAACTCTATAATGGTTGAAGATAGTTGGGTTTGGAGCGGAGACATGGTCAAGCAGTGAAGTTCTTTTAAGCAAAGACGTGCAAGCAACATATTAAGTTAAATAATATGCGATTTTGTCATGCAAAAGGCATACTATTCTAAAATATGTTCGAAAATAAGTCAAAAATGAATTGCATATATGATATATCCTTAGTTTGAAAAAACTTTTTACCAGTATGATGGTTAAATTTAATGAATCATAAGAAAGTCCCCTACTTCATAATAAATAAAATATTAAAAAAAAGGGAAAAAAAAAAGAGTAGCCTAATGATAACAAAGCTCGTAGTAAAATTTCAAGAACTTATAGTAATTTTCGAAATATAAATCAAATTCCGTCTATACTAATGTTATATGAAGTATAATGTTATATGAGGTTTCTAACAACAAAAATGGATAAGGGCGTAAGGCATATATTTCAGCAATACTCAAGGCCCAATAAGCCCAGTATAAATGGATGAAACGAGTAGTAGGATCCTTGTACGAATTGTACCAATGTTTGGTTGAGATATCTGGATCCAGATTCCAGAATCCATAAAAAATGATGATGTTTTAAAGTTAAGGTTGCACTTGTCGACAACTTGTTAGCTAAAATACAAAACCGTACTCAACCCATATTGATATTGTTCATCAAGGAGACAAGGACCCATTAACTCGAGCTCTTTCCCAAATTAAAGTCAAGAAGAACCGCAATTCTCAAATTGCAGCCAAAGTTTTAAGAATTCCCAAAGTACCGTCCACGTCACCGGTTCAGGGTGAAGAAATTTTAAATCCGGTCTACAGCAAAACCGCTACCTGAAGTAGCGGTTTTTACTAATAAACCGCTACTTCAGGTAGTGGTTTCTTTTTAATAAACCGCTACTTCAAGTAGCGGTTTTTGTTTAATAAACCGCTACTTCAAGTAGCGGTTTTCTAGCAGGTATAATTTCCCGATTTCACTTTCCTCTTTCATTTTCGTCTTCTCACCAAAATCCCATCCACGCCTTCCACCAAAATCACACCTCCTTCAACGGAAGCCGGCGCAGCCAAGGAATCCACCGACGCCGCCGGAGCATTCCTCAGCAACGAAGGCCGCCGCTGTTGACGCCGAGGGTTCGAATTTAGTGGTCGGCTTCGCTAATTTCAGAAGAAACGTGCTGATCTTCTTGTTTGTGGTAAGTGCCCTAATTATTTTTTGTATTCAGTTATTGGGTTTGTTGTTGTTATTGAGTTTGTTGTTGTTATTGAGTTTCAGAATTGTATGTATGTGTTGTTGTTGTTGGTTTTGGTTGTGTTGTTGTTGTTAGTGTTCTTGTTTATTGTTGTTGTTATTGAGTTTCGGTTTTGGTTGTGTTGTTGTTGTTAGTGTTCTTGTTTATTGTTGTTGTTATTGAGTTTCAGAATTGTATGTATGTTTGTGGTTGGTTTTGGTTGTTGTTGTTGATTTACTTACCTTACATATAACCCTTGTAGAATTATTAATGGTTTCGATCACATTACTCAGTTTAGGTTGCTATAATTGCTGATTTTGAAAGTGAAAATAGAGCTTCTATACACAAAGTACATGAGCTCAAAGTACATGTAGTCATGACTTATGCCCATGTTGAGCTTCAAGAGGTATTAAGACCTTCATAGCTCAGTTTAGGTTGCTATAATTGTGTAGTTTGCTTGCTTGATGTTAGGACATTGCCACACTGTTAATGAATTTTTGCAATCTAATATCTTTGATTAATAATGGTCTTTTCTAGAATGAAACATGGAGGTTCCGAACTACCCTCTATATTGCTATTGGGGTGGAGAAATTGTCCACAAAGATAGCGATATAACGTATAGGGGTGGGAATCAAAAATTTGTGTTTGTACATTCTGCGATGACATATTCACAAGTTCTGAACAAGCTATATGAAGAATTGAGTGTTGATCCTAGAGGTGTGGAGTTGAAGGTGGTTATGCGTTATCCTATGGCTGGGGCATATGTTGCAATTCCGTTAAATGACGACAACGCTGTTAGAGCTATGTGGATTGCTGTGACTCAGAGTTCTTCTGTTGCAATGTTTGGAGTGGCGTAGCTGATAGAGTTCTCTCAGTTAGGGAGCATATGGTCAGCGTGGGACGTGAGTGGAGGGTAGATGGCGGAGTACTAGAGTACGTTAGGCTTGCTGGGTTTTACGGTGTACATAGGATTTTGGGAGGAGGGTTTTTGCTTGATCGATCTCTTCTTACGGCGTTGGTTGAGAGGTGGAGGCAGGAGACACATACTTTCCACCTAGTGGTAGGTGAGGCCACCATTACTTTACAGGATGTCTCCGTCCTGTTAGGTATGAGAGTGCACGGCCCTCCTGTCATTGGACCTCCATTTGAGGGATGGCATGACCTAGTTGAGGAGTTGCTGGGAGTTCGACCTGGCCATGATGATAACGGTAAGCCGTTTCTGGAGGGATCTACTTTGAAGTTGACGTGGCTCAGACGTCACTTCTCACAGATGCCAGAGGGAGCTGATGACTTGACAGTTCAGCGCCATAGCCGTGCTTACATTCTCACTCTCATGGGATCTATTATGTTCGCCGACAAGAGTGGCGATGCTGTGTCACTCTACTACTTGCCGTTCCTTCGAGACTGGGGGACAGCTTCGACCTACAGCTGGGGGAGTGCGACTCTTGGTTTTTTGTATCGGCAGCTATGTCGAGGATGTCAGCGAGATTCAAGACAGATTGGAGGCCCGCTCATCCTACTACAGTTGTGGTCGTGGGAGCATATTACTATTGGCCGACCATACATTAGGAGGCCTCGAGATCCGCCACAGGAGGACCCTGAGGCTGAGGATGAGGATGACATTTTGGGGACTCAGCATCAGCGAGGTGTTGACCCTTTGGCGTGCAGGTACAATGTTTGCTTCAAGTTCATGTTCTTACAATTCTATCTTTCAAGAATTATTATTAACATGTCTTTACAGGTGGTTACGTGTCCATCTATCGTGTGCGCATACTGCTTCTGGACTACCATACTACAGAGATGCGTTTGACCATCAGCGCGAGGACCAGGTACAATCGGTGTTTCTTTTTTTTTGTGCATTGTATTTCTTCCATTATGTTAGTCATATACATGTTGACATACTTGTTTTGGGAATTAGATGATTTGGCAGCCATATACTGAGGCGGTGATGGATCGACTTCCGGAGATTTGTCGCTCAGACATGCACATTTGGCGTTCACGGGCACCTCTGATATGCTTTGACGTCGTTGAGTTCCACCTCCCAGACCGAGTCCTTCGTCAGTTCGGGTTAGACCAGCCGATCCCACAGGATGTAGACACGGACGTTGCTCTACACAGGAAGGATCGAAGGGGACAGCGTAATTGGGAGATTCGGCATTCGGACCATGTACACGAGTGGAGTCGACGAGAGGCATTAGTCGTCCAGGGATACCCGTTCACTGGGACTTCTTCCCCGGCCATGACAGAGTACATGGCTTGGTACCATCGCATCACGAGACTGGTCATTACTCCACCTTCGCAGGAGCGCCCCCCGAGTCATTACCAGCCAGCTACCTCGGACCTCCTGCTTGTATGAACTTCACTTCATTTCAATCTAGTTCTTACGTTTTTGATTTCATTTTACTAACATTAAAACTACACTTAAATGTAGGCACATGCATTTGCTGATTTGCACGTCCAGCTATCGGGAGCTACTGAGACCATCTCCCACTTGCCACCAGAGACGGCTATACCATTTGCCATACAGACGATGCAGGGTTTTACATCATTTTGTGGCCAAACCTTGTCTAGGGTGGGGCAGTCACACCTTATTCAGCAGCCTCGACCGTCCACGTCTTCATCTTCTACTGTGCACACTATGCCGATCAGACCACCACCTCATCGTGGAGGCCATTCAGCACGTGCCTTCCGTCCACCGACTCCTTCTCAGCATACTATCATGACATCTCCTCCACTAGTGCATCGCCAGTATCAGAGAAACCGACGGCGTAGCAACACTACGTCTGGGGTTGGAGTTGGCCTGGATGACATTCCAGAGGAGACAGCTGCATCATCTTCATCGTCACCTCATGGGAAGAAGCAACGCCCGAGCTAAGTGTATATTTTGGAACTAAACTAATTTTTTTGTAAATGCTTAGAATTGGATTTTGTTATATTTAATCAATTGAAAAATATTCGACTTTGCAATTTCGACTTCCTTAGATCTTCATAAACTTGTTATTTATGGTGGTTGTGTTGAAAATATGCTATATATCTCATGTTTTACAGGTACACAACTTGCAGGTTTTTTTTTTTTGAGTGATTATGCAAGTTTGAAAAAAAAACCAGTCCAGGGTAAACCGCTACTTGAAGTAGCGGTTTTTCAAAGTAAACCGCTACTTGAAGTAGCGGTTTTCCAAAATAAACCGCTACATTAAATAGCGGTTTTTTGTAAACAAACCGCTACTTCAAGTAGCGGTTTTAAACTAAGAAACCGCTACTTGAAGTGGCGGTTTATTGCAAAGAAACCGCTACTTCAAGTAGCGGTTTACCCTGGACCGGAAAAAAAAAAATCGGTTTTTTAACCAGTGCTTACGTGGACGGTAGAATGGGAATTCTTAAAACTTTGGCTGCAATTTGGGAATTGCGGTTCTTCTTGACTTTAATTTGGGAAAGAGCTCCATTAACTCACCTGTCTTTTTCCTTGTATTGTTTGTCTCAGTTTAGTTGTCACTTTGAGGTAAATTTTCTTTTTACCAATTTTGTATCACTATATTTTTTACCAAAATCAAATTGGGAGTAATAATTTAAAGAACTACAAGTATTTACATACAAATACAATTAGTTCACTACAAAATTTCTACTTCTTTCGTTTTTATTTTATTTTATTTTTTAATTTGATCACGCATGTTTATCAAGTATCAACAATATCTTGAACTAGATTTATTAAAATTATAAAAACTCGATATTTATTCATGAAACAAATCACATAAAATTTGCAAGATTTGAGCCACCTTTTCCGAAAAAAATACCGAAAATTCCTAAAACAAATTTTATGATGTCAAACTTGAAATCTCAAAATCATCTAGTCCCAACTCCACCGTCGGACCAACCTAAAATCGGTGATTACTACACGTACTTCCGAAACTTCCTCATCACTTTAAGTACATTAAATTTGATAGTTACGCATAGGGGGGTACAAAAATTGGCCCGGACCTGAAACCGGACCTGAACCGACCTGAACCGGACCGGACCTGACCCGGACCTGACCCGGACCTGTTGATTCAGGTCCGGTCCCGGTTCTTAAAAATCCAGGTTCCCGGTCCCGGTCCGGACCCGGTCCAAACCCGGGGTTTTCAGGTCCGGACCTGAAACCCGGGAAAATCGTAATTAAAAAAAAAAAAAAAGAAGAAAATCAAACTCTGAAAAATTGAAACTGTGTTTTCGTGGACTTATTTGTATTTTCGGTGGACTCATTTGTATTTTTGGTGTTTGAGAATCAGGACTTTATAGACTTTATGTAGTTTTGTAATTGATAATTTTGGTTTGTATGTAATTATTAAATTATGCAACAGGTCTAAAAATCACAAAACAGGTCCATATGCAGGTCCAACAGGTTTTGTATTAAAAAAAAAAACGAAAAAGACACAAAACAGGTCCATTCAGGTCCAAACCCGGACCGGACCTGATTTTTCAGGTCTGGCCCGGAACCGGACCTGTTAATTCAGGTCCGGTCCCCGGTCCTCATAATTACCCAATTCAGGTCCCCGGTCCAAACAGGTTCGGTCCAGGTCCGGTCCGGTTTTGGACCGGTGTACACCCCTAGTTACGCGTACATGATCGTAGTGCTCCTCATAAAAACCACGAGTAAATCATCCTAAAATCTTTGTGGACCAAAGGTACCATGTCCCTTCAATATCCAAGTTGAATTACCCTCCAATATCTCGACGACCAACCAATCTAGGACTATATACTTGCTAATGAGGGAAATTTCTTAGAAATTGTTTGTTGCAAAAATCTTTACAAATTCTTTTGGCATCTTAATATTTATTGGCATCTACATTTTTCATGTATAAAGACCTCGCTCTTTGTCGTTTGTTAGAAGCCAAAACTTTGCGTTACCCTTCAATTTTAGGCACATACATTGCATTCTACATGACATTTGCCAACTTTATACTATATTAATATTATTAAAATACCATATTTTATACTTGTAGCTTTTATTAAGTGGGGTACTTATTTTTTGGTTGCTTGCTAATGGATTTAATGGACCACCAAATTTATGCTCTTTTTATTTTATTTTCATTAGTAAAGTATAAAAAAATAAAAATTGTTTTTTTTTGTTGAATTTATAATATGGACTTGAATATAGAGCACGGACGGCAGCCGAAATAGGTGGGTATGAGAGTTTCTAAATGCAGAGGATTGGTGACACGTTAATGTATCACAGCTCATTCAAAATAGGAAACTGGAGTTAGTTCTGGAAACTGCGCACATTTTGACTGTGATGCAACAGAACTGACGACTGTGTGATTAAAACTCTACCTTAACTGCAGTGTCACTACTGTTTGGGACTCTCAGTTTTAGTTACTGCTAGTGCTACCTCTGCTTCAACTGTCATGGGTTGTTATCATATTATGTGGATATGTGATAGCTGCGTGACTATGGTTAATGAGGTCTCAGGGGTAGTTTCGTCATTTTAACAGGTATTTCCAAGGCCGTTTTAGAGATACCGTGGAGAAATACGATAACAACTTAGGGCCTGTTTTGATTTACTGAACTAAGCTGAACTGAACTGAACTGTATATGAACTAAGCTGAACTGAACTGAAATTAAGCTGAAGAGAACAAACCCTTAGAATAAATTTAGGGTAATTATTGATTTAATAGAAGTCGTGGAGTAATTGTTATGTGCTGTGTTAACATTCACGAGTATTCGAAATTTGTCTAATCATGTCAACTTGGATTACTATTATTTATTAACTTTGATTGACGTTTATTGTTAACTAGAAAATTCTGTGTTTGTCATTTAGTTTAGTCATTTTATACTTGTCAAAATGTTGAGATTTAAGAACAGGTGTTGAAAGCAAAAATATAGTAACTAGCAATGTAACATCAACATAACATTACTGTACTAATTAATGTCTTAAAAGAGACTCTCACTGATGGTAGAGGTATCTAAAGAAAGATGTAGATGAATGCAACCTTACTCCAATCATAGAGGAGAGGGGATATGCATATGCTGACCTTCAGCCTAAAGCACATCCATTCATCCATACTCAACTAAAACAACAAACACGCAACTTAAGCAACCAAAAGTGTTTTGTAGACCTTTAGTATTGATAACTCTTATGAAAGATAGAGACATAAAAATATGATTATAGTATTACATGTATGACGTTTTCTTTCTAGGGTAAACACTATGGTACAACAATCGTATGAGAAAATTTGCAGAAATTTGGTATCAGATAACGGGTTTGGATAAACAGTCGGCGAGAAAGTTGTGTCGTAAATGTGTCTGGAATGCCTACTGGCCTCTGATTGACACTGGAAACCTCTCAACATATCAAATGAAAATTTTGATTCAATCCCTGTACAAACTCAAATCAAAAGCTAATCAATATTAGCACCATTCAATCCTTGTACAAACTCAATTCTAAAGCCCAAGGCTTTAATTCATAATCAAAGTTTACATCATTCTCTTTTAGGAAAAATAAAAATACAACACTTTATAAACCTATGGTTGAAATTGCACAGAAAAATGCAATACTACATTCAATGTTTCTGTTGAGAAAATTCTGAACTGGTGCACACGTTTCATGCACATCAGATAATATGACGACCTATTGATTTTTTAATTCTTTAAGTAAAAGAAAAAAAAAACAGCCAGCTTGAACAAAGTAACTCAAATTTATCTGCAGGAAAGAAGTTGATCCAGCTTCATCTGCTTCACATTATGCGATGCATCTTACTATGAAGTTGGGGTTAAACCTCTGTCTCTATTTTCATCAGCCTGCAATTTTTCCATGAATCGCCATCAATGGTTGTAATGACTGATGGCTCGAGCTGGCTCATGGCTTTTTGTATTGTCCATCTCCTCCTTTTCCTGCATTATTGTGCAGAAATTGATACCACCACCGTTATATTTTAGACTAATCAGATTACTAACTTCATATGCAGAGATGATTATTCAATTAAGATTTTTTATTGGCATAATTGTTTTAAGAAATTAATCAGTTGACTACGATCTCACACTACATGTCTGTCTCTACAAGATTATAACAGGCTACCAGACCTCACCTGTTAGTAAGTACTTCATTGTCCAGAGTTTGAACACTAGTTTGGGATGTTCAAAGAAACATTTTACATTTCCTAGAATAGAAATTGATAAAACAGGGGATGGGAAGTAGACAAATATTGAAGGATATGTTGTGAAATCCTAGTGAATCTCTAATCATGAGGGGATGGTACGCACAGCAAAGATGGTAAATGTGTAGTCATATCAAATAGGCACAATACAGAACTATGTTAATGTATGTGTTCTTCCATCACAACATTGAAGTTCCAAAGAGCAGCATTATTCATTTACGCTGTATGAAACTGGTAGGCCGAATATATGGTGAAATTATGACATGTTATAACCAATGATTTCTACATCGTCATACATAATCCCATAAAGTTTTCTTTATCGATGATAAACCTATCTCATGATAAATTCAATGTCATAGCTCAATACATTATCACATCAACCTCTGATAATCAACAAGGCTATTGGAAAATGGGAATAGGAGTTTGGGGGTTGAAGAATGGAAATGAGACTATGAGAGTGGGAAATAGCAATTGGAAATTTCACTAAGTGTGGGAAGTACAAACTCTTACATTCTTGTCAACCAACAACATCCTAGTTTTCTGCATCTCGGGAAATCACACACGAAGAGTATTTCTACAATGATAAAACGACCACTGAATTGTTCTGTGATGGGGATAATTTGGGAATTAGTGCTAGCAATTTACGGAGTACTATAATGTCTTTCATCAATATTGTTGTTTCAACTCTGTCTATCACTCACAAAAACTCACCCCAATAACAAACTCCTCGGCTCCTAACCACTCTTGGTAATGAAAACTTGGGAACATGGCCTCCTAATTTCTACTCGTACTTAATTCCAATCCTAGTTCCTAAAACCAAACACGAGAATTGTAATTCCCATGAATCCCATCCACCTAACTATCCCATTTCCACCACATTGCCATGAAGGCAATAGCACAATCAAACTAATGCTACAATTTGGAAACAAATGCAAGTAACATGCCTTTCTTTATTTGTTCAATCCACAATTGAGTCTAACAATACTATCTCAATTATAGTCATTGCAATCTAAAACTAGTATAATCAGGCAAAACAATGTACAATTACACTACAACTAATCAATTTCATGCTCAAAACTTCACACAACATTCCAACCACACTAAAACTTAAAACATACCCCTATGATCAGATTGATAATGAATAGAAATCCACCAAAGCAACGAGCCACAAAGTCACAGCATTGTCCCAAGGCACGCATCGAACACGAAACCACGCAACAACCCGTCCCCATACCCGGGCGCCCCCTCGATCCACCGCCACTCGCCACCACTACCACTAAAAACCTCTTGAGCAGAGTTATCCCACAATGCCAACTTCCCAACTCTCTTAGCCGAGAAACAAACCTTATCCCCACCTCCAAACACCTTAAATTTCGAAGATTCCTGAAAACACTTATACATATCTAAAGGCATTCTTCCTGCTTCATCCCACTCCAAACTCTCCAAATCCAACCTAAGTATCAATATCGTTGAACATGAAGCATTCAATGAAAATGACGATTTTAGCCCTCCCACCATTAAAATCTTACTCCCAACCCCTTTAACCAATCTAGGTCTTTTCAAGATATCAAACACATCACCCCATTCACTCCTCTCCACCCTACTCCACCCCAACGACGTCGTCTCGAATTCCGGCAAATTACAGCTAAATAGCTTCCAGATGCTTCTCCAAGGTGAACCCACATCACAAAGCGCATACAACGAGCTCCCAACTAAGATGGGACTCCGAGGTTTCGACGGCAAATTCGACGAAAACTTCAACCAGTTATCCTGCTTATTAAAGCCATGATTGCAGTTGTTACTGTGATCACACCAATACAAGGTCGCAAGTTCAGTGAGCACAAGAACCCGATGACCCGACCCGGATAAGACCGACCCGTGTTTGGACCAAGCCGACCCGAGTTGGGGTAAGACCCGGTAAGCCCGAGTCAAAGGGTTACAAACAACGAGCGAGCGAGCGGGTGAGTCGGGCGAGTCACCCCAAAGGTAGATCTGACCGAGTGATGACGTCACAGGGGAGAGAGAAGTAAAGGGTAGGAAAGTAAGATCGAATCTGAGCCATTCATCGGAGGAAGGATCGAAGGCGTGGAGAATCGGCGGCGGAGGAGAGAGAGGGGACGGCTGACGGTGGCGCGTGTGGTGGTGAGGAGGGCGGAGAGCGAGGAGAGAGAGAGGAGGGTGAAGGGAGAAGATGAGGTGGCAGAAGGAGGGTGAAGTGAGGAGGTTGTTGAAGGGTTTTGAGATGGATCTGCAGATTATGATGTCACGAAGAGGGAGTTTGGTGAAGATCATGTGGAGGGTGTCTTGAGGGAGACGGTAGATTGGGGGGGAATCCATTGATGGAGGAGGAGAGAGAAAGTTGAAGGTTGTTAATGGCGGAAATTTTGGGGCTTTTAGGAGAGAGAAAGTGAAGGGGAGGAGTGAGAATGGGTGGGTACTGGGTGTATCCGAGTTAACTCGAGTATGACTCAGATGAGGAGGAAATGTTTTTTTTTTTAGTCAATGAAAAGAAAATTGAACCTATTGGAAAAAAAGGGGAAGGGTATGAATGAAATTGACAAAAATGGAATGGATTACACACTTACACATTGGGTGGAAATTTGATGGGGAGGAAATCTATCAAGGATTTGGAGTAGATTGGGGTTACACTAAAAAATTAATCCGATCGATCTATTTTGATATCACTTGTAAAAAACCCGTTTCAGATTTTGACTAGTATAAAAATTGTCATATTGGGTACAATAGCGACATAGCGAAATTACTCAACTTTAAAATAGACATGACTTGATCTGATTTCACCAAATCCGACCTTAGCATTGAATTGACAGGTTTATTTTCTCCTCATTTTCAAAGTGATTTTAATTTTTATGTTGTTGTTTTTGTGTTTATTGGTTCCACTTGGATTTGTCTCTTGACTATAGTCTTGCCGACCTCACAGTTAACCATCTAGCACCCACAACAAATTTAACGTATTTACTAATACTTTCTATATCCCTTATTAAAAGTTTATTTCTAATATTTATTATTTACATAATAAAGAGAAATAGAATTCTAACAAAAGGACGAGGGAGTATGAGTTATGGATTAGCTATGCTATTTAAAAGGGGGAGGGGAATTGAGGTTTAAATATGTGCATGAAAAAAACTCAAAGAAGAAAACAAAGATGGAACGCAATTGGATGATATTTTGATGGGGGGGGGGGATATATCATGGATGGGTAGCTTAAAATAGGGAGATATTGAGTAATTCAAGTGCTTTTGTAATTTCTTTCTACACTTCTAGCTGTTCTAGCCTTCTAGGTGTTTTTCTGTTTTAATTTCAAAATGGTTTTAATTTCTTTTGCCTTACATAGTTACATACTTACATGTACAAGCAGTAACTATAGCCCACTACCAGTTTGGTTCATACCAAGTACTTTTTTTGTTTTTGTTTATAATGTTATTACTGATAAATATACTGTTATTGTTGATTTTATATTGTTATTTTTTATTCTATAATGTTATTATTCCAACGAGAATTTCAATGAAGAAAGAGGGAAAAAGAAAAGATCCTATTTTTGTATTATACGTACTATTAGTATTAATTTTACACTGTTATTATTAATTTTTATATTATTTTCGTCTCTTGGTATGGACCATACAAGGTAGCGGTCCATCACGCATTCACGCCTCATGTACTAGTATGTTTAATTTGCTTCACTCGCATAGTGGCATTTGTATCCCCTCTCTAGTCTTTGCCAACCTCACTATTTACCGATTACCACCGGTAAGACTCTGTTCTCTTCAAATTATTTCCAGTTCAGTCTTTGCCAACATCACTATAATGATCACGTATGGTTCCACGCTTTTTGAGAAATTATGGAGGTTTCAAGTCCTGGCGTCGAAAAGTCTTGAAATTCTATGGGATACATCTCGATGTCATATAATAACCGTGTGGAACCATATATGATCATTATTTGTTATCATAAATGTTCGTGGTAGACTTGAATCAATGAAATCGGTGCAAGTTATAACCCGTTAAATTGGTCGTTTAAAGACAAATTGGATGGTTCCACCCATCCAATTGAGTTCCCGGAGGATATTTGGGACCATGGTAAAAAATTTCGACAATTTTTTTTATTTCCGGACGAAAGAAAGTAAAAAAATCCAAATTTGAAGACTATTATCCACGTTTTTTGAGAAATTATGGAGGTTTCGAGGCCTTGGTGTCAAAAAGTCTTGAAATTCTAGTGGATACATCTCGGGGTCATATAATGCCATTTGGAATCATACGGGCGAAAGAAAGTCAAAAAATCCAAAATTAAAGACTATTATCCACGCTTTTTGAGAAATTTTGGAGGTTTCGAGGCCTTGGTGTCAAAAAGTCTTGAAATTCTAGGGGATACATCTCGGGGTCATATAATGCCATTTGGAATCATATATGATCATTATTTGTTGTCATAAATGTTCGTGGTGGGCTTGAGTTAATGAAATCGGTGCAAGTTGTTAACCGGTAAATTGGTCGTATAAAGGCAAATTGGATGGTACCACCCACCCAATAGGACTCCCTGAGGGTATTAGGGATTATGGTAAACATTTTGCCAATTTTTATTTATGGGCGAAAAAAGTCAAAAAAATCCAAAATTAAAGGCTAATTTCCACGTTTTTTGAGAAATTTAGAAGGTTTAGGGGTCTGGTGTCGAAAGCCTTGATATTTTAGGGGATACATCTCAGGGTTATATAATGTCGTTTGGAATCATATATGATCGTTATATGTTGTCATCATAAATGTTCGTGGTAGGTTTGAAATAATGAAATCGGTGCAAGTTGTAAATCAGTAAATTGGTTGTTTAAAGGCAAATTGGATGGTTCCACCTATCCAATTGGACTCCCTAAGGTATTAGGGAACATGATAAACATTTTGGAAATTTTTATTTCCATGTGAAAATAGTCAAAAAATTCAAAAATTGAAGGCTAATATCCACTTTTTTGAGAAATTTTGGAGTCTTTGGGGCACGGTGTCTAAAAGTCTTTAAATTATAAGGAATACACCTCGTGGTCATATAATGTCGTTTGGACTCATATATGATCATTGGATGGTTCCACCCACCCAATTGGACTCCCGCAAGGTATTAGGTACCATTGTAAACATTTCGACAATTTTTATTATTGTGCGAAAAAAAGTCAAAAAATTCCAAAATTGAAAATCCATGTTTTTTTCAGAAATTTCGAAGGTTTCAGGGCCCAGTGTCGAAAAGAAATGAGATTTTAGGGGATACATCTCGGGGTTATATAATACCTTTTGGAATCATAAATGATGATTATATGTTGTCATAAATGTTCGTGGTAGGCTTGAGTTAATGAAATCGGTGCAAGTTGTAAACCAGTAAATTGGCCGTTTAAAGGCAAATAGGACGGTTCCACCCACCCAATTGGACTCCCAGAGGGTATTAGGGATCATGGTAAACATTTCGCTAATTTTTATATCCAATGCTTTTTGAAAAATTTTAGAGGTTTCGGGCCCCGGTGTCGAAAAACCTTTATATTATAGGGGATACATCTCGGGGTCATATAATGCCGTTTGGAACCATATATGATCATTATATGTTGTCATAAATGTTCGTAGTAGGCTTGAGTTAATGAAATCGGTGCAAGTTGTAAATCGGTAAATTAGTCGTTTAAAGGCAAATTGGATGGTTCCACCCAACCAATTGGACTCTCGGAGGGTATTAAATACCATGATAAACATTTCGTCAATTTTAATTTCCGAGTGAAAAAAAGTCAAAAAATTCCAAAATTGAAGGCTAATACATCCACGATTTTTGAGAAAATTTAGAGGTTTCAGGTAGAGTTGTCAATTCAGGTAAATGGGTCGGGTTTAGGTCGGTAAGAGCGGTTCGGGTCAACTCGGGTCGGATCAATTCGGATTAATTCCATAACCTATGCGGCTTGGGTTTGGTCATACTTGAGTACTACTACAACAAAATAAAGCAAAGGTAACAGTGAAAAATCATTGCCGAATATAAAAAAAGTGTTGTCTTGTAGCTAAGGCAACACATATGAGGCATAGTATATGCCCCCGTTGTCTATTCATAAGGCAACACATTTTTATTCAAAGGCAACAATTTTGAAAACCAGTGTAAATAATACATAAGGCAACACTTTTACAAAGACAATAAATGAAAAATGTTGCCATCTATGAAGACAATTCAAAAATGTTTCTAAATGTTGCCACTCCCAAGCATTTAGTAGGTTGTAGGGCTCAAACTTGTGACCTCAAAGTCACAAGGTGACTTCACCACCAACTCCACCAAACTATATATATATATATATATATATATATATATATATATATATATATATATATATATATATATATATATATATATATATATATATCTCACTCATTACACACACTCGCCATAAAAGCAATATCTTAAATTATGTTGTCTTTTTAATATAAATGTTGTCGTAGATGGCAACATAGATATTAATTTTACATTTTCAAGCAATAGTTTTGTTATTGTTATCTTTTCATGCAACAATTATTATGTTTGTTGTCTTAGACTAGAAAAAGGTAACACTTTAAGCGACTGTAGCCTTATATATTCTAGAGCAACACTTTTTTATCTGTTACTTTAGTTCAAGGTAACAAATAATAAATATTGTTTCTTTAGATTACTAAGAGTATCATTTATGTAACTGTTGCAATCTTAAGTGTTGCCTATTCTCATTTTTTTTGTAGTGAGTCTAGTCACGTCGGGTCATACTACTTATCGTGTTTGGGTCGGGTTAATAATAGGTCGGGTTACATTCGAGTTGGGTGAACAATAGGTCGGGTTTAATTCGGGTTTTCACGGGTTAAAACAGGTTAGGGTAATTCTCGGGTTCGAGTCTAGTTCGGTTCAAGTCAATAATTTGCAGATTAGAATCAAGTCGGGTCATTCTCGGGTTTGAATCAGGTTCGGTTCAAGTCAATAATTTGTGTGTTTTAATCAAGCCGGGTCATTTTCAAGTTGGGTAATTCTCGGTTTCAAGTCGGGCTCAGTTCAAGTCAATTATTTGCGGGTTATAATCAGGTTAGGTCATTTCCTAGTCGGGTCATTCTCGGATTCAAGTCGGGTTATGTTCAAATCAATAATTTGCAGGTTATAATCAGATCAGGCTATTTCTAAATCAGGTCATATTCGGGTTCAACTAACTATAAATAGATAATTAACATTTTTATCAAGCTAATTATTTTCTTTGACTATAATATATGGCAATATACTAGGGAACTATAATATATATAATTTAGGAAGATAATTATCTTCTTTGACCATACAACAAATATATACTATATTTAACTCTTAAATTTGAGGATGATGCTCTTTTCTTTTGCTGGCATGGACCGACTTGGTCTTCCTAGACAAAATGCTTTGATCAACAATAATAAGGTGGTCTAAATTGCATTTAAGGTGATTTGAAATCGGGTCAGGAACAATTTGGATTGAATTTTGGTCGGGTCAATAACAAGTCGTGTTTATTTAGAGTCGGGTTAGTAACAGATCGGGTTGAAGTTTTGGGTTGGGTTAGTAATAGGTCTAGTAACAAGTCGGGTTGAATTTTGGTCAGGTCAATAACAAGTCGGGTTGATTTCGTGTCGGGTTTGTTACAAGTCGGGTTAAATTCGGGTTTTGACGGGTTAAAACGGGTTTGGGTCAATTTCGGTTCAAGTCGGGTTTAGTTCAGGTCAATAATTTTTTCT